TATATATATATATATATATATATATATATATATTTATATATATATGCCGCCTAATGCTGATCTTAAATTTGTATGATATTAACGTCAACTCTCTAGCCGCTGTCTTTTCGGGGGGCTGTTCGAAGCGTCTTTGTTACTGCTGTGTGTAGCAACATCAGATTTCGCCAGTTGTACTCGTTTCCTGAACGATACATCGCCCTGACTCTCACTCGATTCTGGCCCTATACCAGAACATTTCGATGCATCCCCACTACCCAACCCCACCCCCTGGTCTCCTGCACTCTTAGCCACAGATGCGCCTACTGAGTGCTCATTGGCTTCAGACATTGATTCACCACTCGAGTCCGCTATCCGATCATTGAGACTTCCCTTTGGCGTAGCCACAGGCGTTGTGGTAGTATTAGCAGTCAATTGATCCTCTTGTCGACCACTTTGCGTATCTGTGCTGTGCGTGGTGGATGTCAGTGTCTCTGCTCTCATGCTATCACCTGATTCTGCATTGACAGGTCTACTCACCGATGCAGTTTCCAATGCTTCAACCTTTGGTTCGGCATTCGCATCTGCAGTTGTACTCCCTTGTAAGGCTTGGTGCGACATAAGGTTGCATGTCTGTGATGCGTTACTAGCAGCAGGGCTAGCAGCCGGTAATACTTGCTCTCCACTATGAATTACAGCCTCTGCTGCCCTCGATGTGTCTGATGTATCTAAATTTGTACGTGTGGGATGTTCGGTACTCCCTGTGCTTCCTACATTACTGGTGCTGACTGATTTATCTGGTCCCAGATCAGAACTCCCACTTTTTTCCTGCTGTGGCTGTGACGGTATAATGACCTCAGAATCCGCATGCTTGTGCTCTGGTGTACGAGATTGTGTCCCACTCTGTGATACACCATCGCTCGTCCCTTCGACCTTCGCCACAGGCCCCATCACATCCCATCTCGCCCGGCGCGCGCCCGTCCGCGCAGTCCTCGTAACACCCTGGCCACTCGTGTGACTGTTGTCCACACTTTTTTTGACCAGCGTATCTACAGCTGGCTCTGTTTGAGTATCCACGCGAGTATCCACTCCGCCCTTCTCAGGGGACTTTGTCTGACTATCGAGGAAGGCCATATCCTGAGTAACCAGACTCTCCGCACATGGCTTCGTCTCTTCATTGTGTAGTGGTTTGCTTGCTGATCCCAGCTCAGATGTGGCTGCTGCAGGGTCATTCCTCACATCGGCAGTAGAGAATGGCTCCACATGTTCTGTGCTTTTCCCCGCTGTTTGCGTGCTGCTACTAGTAGTGGCACTGTCACTGGCACTCGTATTAGTAGCCACCACGGCCCCATTCAGCATGAGGGTCGTAGCTGCAGTGTTGTCTATTCCATCGGCGTGTATCTGAGTCGGTGCATTGGTCCCAGTGTGTGTGTTCTCTTTGTCACTGACTCCCTTCAGACTATAATTGATTGGCTTCGCATTTTCTATGAGTGCATCGCCGGCAGGTGTCTCAACGATGGCTAACGTCCTCCGTACAGGGGTGCTTTGATGTTCCCCTGAGCTTGTGATTGCGGCTGTATCGCCGTTCGTGTTCGTATTTATGTGTGCCATTACATCTGTGTGTGATCCTGCATTAGCATGAGTGCCTGTGTTCGTGCTCATGCTTGTTGTGGACACATCGCTCACTCCAGTAAACCTTTCTAGCAACGACTGAGCGCCGGTCTTGGCCCCTACTGCTGCGTGTGTGTGTAGTGCGGTTGATGTTGGTGTGTGTGTGTCAAACGATGATAGCCTTCCAAGTCCCATACCCAGCCCAGTATCACCACTATTCTTACTATGATAACTACTAGCCCCTATACTACCACCACCCCCGAGGACCGAGTTGTTGTCCTCCGTATCACAGTACACACTTTGCCTCAGGCGCTCCTTGACCTCCTTAACCGCCTGCGCGTCTAATTCTGTCAGCTTTTCCTCACTATCTCCCGCTCCAGTCCCCGTCAGACTGTCCACTGTTGTATTTTTCGCACTAGTGCCAGCCATTGCCCGCGTTTTATTCTCCATACTCGTACCCAGGGGTTGTATCGCATTCCCCATGCTGATATCCAGCGCATGGTCACTCCCCATAGTCAATTCTAGGGAAGGTTCGGTGAATTCATCGTCATCGTCGAAGTAGTCTTCCTCTTCGGCATCTAATTGGCGAGCATCTGGCCTGTAGCGTGACGTGAGCTGCTGCGACAAACTGCCGATCACGTCGTCTGACCGACTACGTGGCCGCGAGTTGGGAACAATCAAGAAATGATGTTCAGTATACGATTATTTGAACAGAGCATGCAGTCATAATTACATGAATACACATACATATACATGAAAAATGATTGAGGACCACTAGGCCTGTAGTGTAACGTAAGCTACTGTGCTATTCTGTGGACTGCGCCGACTAACCACTATATGACCGCAAGTGCAGCATAACAAAGAAATCATGTTCAATATACGATTGCTCGAACGGAGCGTGAGGTCATATTCATATCTTCACACGAACATACACATGTACAATTATTGAAGACCACTAGCTCTGTAGTGTAACGTAAGCTACTGCGCTATACTGTGGACTGCGCCGACTGACCACTATATGACCGCAAGTGCAGAATAGCAAAAAAAAGATATTCGATATACCAATATTCGAACAGAGTGTGTGGAGTTATATTTCACATCGACACACGAACATAGATAAATAAAATGATTGAAAACCGTCGGGTCTGTAGAATGACGTGAGCTGCTACATTATACAGTCGGCAGCGCTTTCTGACTAGCTATGTTACCGCAAGTGGGGTAGGATAAAGTGAAGGTGTTCAGTGATACAGCTATTCTTAAGGCAATAGTTAGCAATACATGCCTTGGATTAATAATGCACAATTTCTGATTTCTCCTGAGAATTCGTGCACATAAATGAAGTAAAAGACAACAGAGCACACACCGCAGCTGAGGCACTCGTTTCTTCGTTCTGCTCATGTACTAGAACATGTACATATACAAAATGACAGACAACAATTTATATACCTTACTGACAGACAACAATTTATATACCTTAACTGACAGACAACAATTTGTATACCTTAACTGACAGACAACAATTTATATACCTCAACTGGGATCTCAAGCCTTATTCCCTCGTTCTGCTTGACTACTAGATACATGAACGTATAAAAAATCCGGTAAAAATTCACACGTCATACCTCGTTTCTAAAGTACTCATTTCCTCGTTTTGCGCATGTTTTTGCAGAAGGCCCTTGAAAGCTACCTGGTCCTTGAACTTCTCTATAGTTTCCCGGTGGTGGTCGACAATGTACTTGATGGTCGATTTCATATTCTCCTACCAGGATAGAAGCATTGACTCTCCGTCAATACACTTTGTGGACAATATCATATTCTCGTATCCATATAAAAACACAATGATATGACGTCATTGAATAGGTGCAATATATGTCAACCATGTATACATATGAAAACATATATACATACTTCCCGATTTGAAATAGAATCAGCGCTATGCTATTGCGAGTGAGAGCATTGTGAAACCTACGTGTAAACACATTGGATCGACAATTTTTACTTCCCCTATTAAAAAAAGAAACAAAGAGCTGCGTTTTTCCTGTGAATACAGTCTAAAACATGTTCTCCCATCGAAACAGAGACACGACAGAATGGTGTTGCGAAAGCGCAACTTCTATAGACAGACGTCTTCCATGACGAGTCAGACATACAATACACAGAGGACTTTGAAAGCTAAATAGGATTGAAGTGATGGATCTGACGCCGCAGTGTCACAGCATTCATACGGAATACACAAATTTTGTACCGCTATTCGATGAGCTCAGCAACATGAAGCACTAGGTGAAAACCCCACAGAAACATTACAAAGGTCGAGTCGATGTAAATACCTTTACTTGAATATTTTTCCACAGTATATATATATATATAATACATATAAATACATACATATGTACATACATACATATAGATATAGGTATAGATATATAGATAGGTATAGATATATAGATATAGGTATAGATATTAAATATATATACGTACATATATATATATAGTAGGCATAGATATATATATATATATATATATATATATATGTACGTAATTAACTTACGTATAGCATACTATTATACGTAAGTTATACGACTGTGTGTACGACAACATCGAG